ATTGTATTGGTATTATTATTATTTGTATTATTGTTATTAATAATGATAATAAAAATAATAATAAAAATATAATTCTTTCTTATCTTTTTTCTCTTAGAACTCTATAGGTTGAACTCGATGGACTTGTGTCTCTTTTTAACCTGATCAACTATGTAACTATATACTGTACACTACAAATATATTCAATTCCTAATGAAAGCTGTGGTGTGTTTGCCGTACCACAATAAAAAGTCTGAGAGCGCCATCTACAGGTTTCAAGAAAAACAATTGGGCGGAGTTAGCGGTGACAGCTAGCTCCATCCAACTGTTTCCTATTGGCCAGCACCTGCCAGAGTCTTCTAACAGGTCCACGGCAATGAATGACAACTGGGAGGATCCGGTGGTGATATCACAGCCGGCTCCGCCCACTTGTTATTGTTTAATGACAGATCAGCATCCCCAGGTCATTTGGGGACGCTGATCTGTCATCACAACTGGGCGGAGCCAGCCGTGAGATTATGGCCGATTCTGCCCAGCTGTCATTTGCGTGGAGATCGTTCAGCTTTGGCCAAACTTTCTCCACGCTTCGCCTGTCACTACGGCTGAGCGGAAGCATATGGGTTTGGCTCGGCTGCTGCATGGGCAATTGTGAATAGCCCGTACAGCAGCCCTTCGGTTCGACTGAATCAAAGGGCTCCTGCAACCGAAGGATCAGCCGAAGCTACAGCTGTTTTGACAAGTACAAATACTTGTCAAAATGCCCTGTTTTTTCCAGCCTCACCCTGCAGCGCCCTCAGGCAGCCGCTTGCCTTGCCTTGCAGTAGCGCCGGGCCTGTATTGCTGTATATTATTATGGTATATTGCTGTATATTATTATGGTATATTGCTGTATATTGCGGCATGTCATGAATTGATTCAAGTGAACAATTTGTCCACTTTAAGGTTTCTAATGATTTACAGAAAAGGGTTTTTGTATTTATCAGAAAGAGCATTTTATTGCCGCAGCCTCACCCCGCACCTTGTCTCTCTCCCTTTTGTCTCCCCCGCAGGTCTATGACGCGGAATACAAATTCTTCAGCGCGGGCGAGCAGACGAGGGTGTTAATGGAAATTGATCCGCGCAACAGAATTGAAACTTTTCGGACGGAGAACGGTTCAGACAGAGCGCTGGAGATCCACGACTTTAAACACGTCAGTGCTCGCAGACTCCGCTTCCCCTTCATCTCCTTCCACAAATATTATAGACTTATAAAAAGAAAACAGAGGCGTACAATGATTTTTAAAATTGCGGCGGAAGCCGAGAGGGAATACAATGTTTCCTGCAATGGAAGGAATGTTTTTGAAAATCTGATACAGTACAAAAACGAAAATGTATTTTTGTAAGAAAAAAACTAAAATGCGAATAACAAACATATATTTGTATATGGGGATTGGATTTTTTTTTCAAAACGCTGAGCGGGTTTTATCGATGGAGGAAAATATTTTGTATGGAAGGTAGTAAAGTACGATAGTTTAAAATAAAGCATTAGAGGGAAATGTAAACACTTAGAAGAAACAAGTTGCAGGTAAGATCAAATATACACTATATTGCCAAAAGTATTGGCCCCTCCCCCTCCAAATCATTGGATTCAGGTGTTCCGTGACATTTCCTGGCTACTAAATATTCCACGGTCACCTGTTACTGGTATTATAACAATGTGGAAGCAACTGGGAACAACAGCAACTCAGCCAGGAATCAGGTGCTGCAGCAGCCTGTTCTTCTTTATAGGAGGATGCGACTGTATGCACAACAGAATATAGAGAAGATCTTGTTGCACTCCTTACCAAAAATTGCAATGATAGCAGCCTATTTTTTCTTATGGGAGGACACGGCCGTACACTGTCATAATCACACCCGAACGGCACATCCACATGGGTCCGAATAGGATGGATCCTGTCTGAGTCTGAGCACGGACACCCGGACCCACGTGGATGTGCCGTTCGGGTGTGCGTATGACAGCGTACGGCCGTGTTCTCCCAGCACCTGTCCCTCCTGGCCCGATACAGGTGTGCGCGGCCCTAGTTTACGCCGTGTGAATGAGGCCTTATAGTTGAGGTCAGAACACCAGAGAACATCTGGTCTAGAGACAAGGAATTAGAGACGTGCAGAGGGGGAGCTATGAGTCATGGGATGGTACAGATTATAGGGATGCACCGATACCGTTTTTTCGGTATCGAATATGAGTACCGATATTTTTTTTCAGTACTCACAAATACCGAATACCGATACCAGTCCCATAAAGGAAGCCGGGCGGCCTGTAATGACTCGCCACCTGGCTTCCTGATTAACAGGGAAGCCGTCTCCATGCTCCCTCATCACCAGGTGACGAGGAAGTATGGAGCTGGCTTTCTGGCCAATCAGGAGACCAGGGGACGAGCTGATTGGCCAGCTTCTCAACCAATCAGGAAGCCGGGCAGCGAGTCATTAAACAGCGCTCGGCTTCCTGATCTGTAAGCCGGCTCCATCGTCCCTTGTCACCAGGTGAAGAGGGAGCATGAAGCTGGCTTTCTGGCCAATCAGGAAGCCAGGGGGTAGGTAATGACTCGCCGTCCAACTTCCTCATTGGCCAGCTTCAGGACCAATCAGAAAGCTAGGCGCTGAGTTATTACATACTGCCCGGCTTCCTGATTGGCCGAGAAGCCGGCTCCATGCTCCCTCGTCATCAAGTCACCAGGTTTCCTTATATGTGATAAATTAGGAATTGTATTTATTGAACCCTAATCTGTACGGGGCGCAAAAACTAGCCCGTGAATTTTTGTGATTGCGTAGAAAGCAGATTATAAATCTCCGTCTCTCTTTCCAATGACAGGGCATCACCGGAATTTACTTTGCTGATCTACAAAAATGCTTCATCAAGACTCAGAGCAAAGAAATACCTGAGTTTGCTGAGACGGAGTTAGTGGAGCTCGAGGTAAGCTGAGATGTGCAGATGTATCAGTTGAATGGACATTGTGTTCAGCTGATCTTTCTTTTTTTTTTTTTTTTCAATATTTATTTATTAATTTTTCCAGACATTTACCCACAACGTATCCCATTGTACATGACTGATACACATGTATTACAATAATACAAAACAAGGCTAAATACATCATTTTCATCTATCCCTTAAATCATCTCTCATGTTCATAACTTAGGGGGGTTATTCACTACTGAGCTGAAGGATACAGCCGTAGCTGCGGCTGATTCTTCGGCCTTCTTCGGCCGCCGGAGCCCTTCGGTTCAGTCGAACACAAGGGCTGCTGTACAGGCGATTCGCAATAGCCCGTACAGCTGCTGAAGGCTGCTGAGTGGCTCAGCCAAACCGAAGGCATATGCTTCGTCTCGACTGAGCATGAGTGACACCCGAAGCGTGGAGAACGGTCGGCCGAAGCGGCTCTGTGGCAGCGGAACGGTAGACCGCTGCCACAGAGGGGCAGAGAGACTCCAGGGACCGGTCTAAGAGCAAGCCGGCTCGGAAGATCAGGTAAGTCTAACTTTGTAATTGTTCTCCCTATAACAAAACAAGCACTATGGGGTTAAGGCTTTTCCCCATAGTTCTCCTTAGGGTAACGGGAGGACACAAACTAGCGTACTTCCGTCACCCTAGGCTCAGTATACCGCCCAGCTGCGTGACTGACAGTTAGCGCTGGCGGATCGGAGTGGGGAGGGGGGAATCCAGCCCCTCCCCTGGCACGGCAGAGAGCCGTGACAGGACCGAGAGGTGAGCGAACGCCGGTATGTGTTCGCTCACCTCCCGATCTACTGAGCCGACCTGTGACAGTCTCATTGTCACAGGTCGGCTAGAACTATGAGGTGAGTGAAAAGCACTCCCCTCCCCCCTCATAGTTCTCCTTTAATAAAGCCTTGCATGTTTTTACATAGCGAGCAGTAGATATATGCAAAGACATAAAAAAAAGATTCCAAACAGGTTAAAACTTACCTGAGTCTTCACCGTGCGCTCCCGTCCGAAGATCTGAAGATTCTCGGGCGGCCGCAAAGGATCATGGGGCAGGTGCATGCACAGTAGGGATCTTCGGCCGGGAGAAGAGGAGAGACACAGGGTGAGTCATTGCAGGCAGCCCGGCAGCGTGCACCCACACACATTCCGTGGGACAGGACGAGACAGGAGCAGTTGCATCACAAGGGGGGTTCGGGGGGGGGGGTGACACCATTGGAGGGGTGTCACCAAAATGACTGGCTCTAAAAGAAGTCAGGAGAGATGAGGGGACCCGGCAGCATACCTCATCCCGCGGGGTGAACGTCCCCTCCTCTCTCTGCCGTTGTCCATCGCTAAGATGGCCGCCGGCAGGTGTCACTTATATGACCGCGCGTGTGCGATGATGTCATTGCGCACGCGCGTGGTGATGGCACGCGCATGCGCAATGACGTCACGGCGGGGTATCACCCGGTCTCCGCTCAGGGTGACACCCGGCCTCGGGACGCCTCTGGACAGGAGTCAGCACTGGATCAGAGACCGGCACAGGCGCTGGAGGGACTCCTGAAAACTATTGGAAAGAAT